AAACTGCAGCAAGGGAGGTCTAGGTTGGACATTAGGAAAAAGTTCCTAACTGTCAGGGTGCTTAAACACTGGAATAAATTGCCTGGGGAGGTTGTAGAATCTCCATCTCTGGAGATATTTAAGAGTAGGTTGGATAAATGTCTATCAGGGATGGTCTAGACAGTATTTGGTCCTGCCATGCGGGCAGGGGACTGGACTCGATGACCTCTCGAGGTCCTTTCCAGTCCGAGAATCTATGAATCTCCCATGTAGCTGCTGTATGCTGAGGGGGGAGAGCTCTCCCGTCGGCATAATTAAACCACTTCCAACGAGTGGCAGTCTAAACCAGCGCTTCTGTCGGTGCAAGTTATGTCGGTCAAGGGTGTGTTTTTTTTTCACTAAGTTTTACTGACAAAAGTGCTAGTGTAGACATAGCTTTACTCTTCGTCAAATTGCTGAGGTTTGACAGGAATAGAAGCCCAGATTCTGAGACCTGTGCCCACACTGAATAGTACCTTACTCAATGAATAGTCCCATGGACATCAGTGGAACCACTTGTGCAGTAAGGTGTTACACCATAGGAGCAAAGGTATGGGATTCTGGCCTGAAATACGCTTCTGTTAGCCAAGGATTGAGAGGGGAAAGAGGGGTATAACCAAGATACAGTTGATGTGGGTAAGCTATGTTTGAGTGAATTTATTTTCGTAACTATTCCACTTCTCTGCAGTTCCTTTGCCAAAACTTTCCCTCCACGTACTGGTGTGTAAACTGTGTTTAGACGTTTTCTCCTGAAGTGTGAAGGCATGTGAGCCCAGTTAACTATCTACTTCCAAGCATCTATATCCTCCCCCTTCCTTGTCACTCCGTTGCCTTTCCCAGGGCAGGCAAACTTTTTCTTTTTCGCTTTAAAAGGAAGGAGGGGAAAAAAACAACAACCAGAGCTCTTTAAAGGATCTGACTGGTAGATGGAAAGTTGTTTCAGACCATGGCACTTTAATTACTTTATCATTCATATCACCTGAGTTGGGTAAAGCATCTTGAACTGTTAGCTCTTCAGAGCAAATTGTGCTGATCTTGTTAAGCTTTGTGAATCTAGTCATTCTTTCTTGGCATACAAATGTTTAGCTTATACAGTATTTATAAAAGACCCTTAGTAACATGCAAAGGTCAATTGAAAGATACAAACTGGTGTGGGTATAAGTTTTATTTGGAATGTGTAGTAGATCCAGTGTGGAAGGAATGATCGCTTTTCCCTCCCCTGTCTCTCTATCCTAGGGGGGGGAAGGATAGCTCAGTGGCTTGAGCATTGGCCTGCTAAACCCAGGGTTGCGAGTTCAATCTGGGGGGGCATTTAGGGATCTGGGGCAAAAATCTGTCTGGGGATTGGTCCTGCTTTGAACAGGGGGTTGGACTAGATGATCTCCTGAGGTCCCCTCCAACCCTGATATTCTATGTAACAGTCTGTTCCTTTCTTTCTCACAAGGTCCCAAGCCCAATCTCTCGACCATTTTGGAATAAGCAATGGAGCAGTCCAGCAACTTGTTCCCTCCAAAACATTCAAGGATTTACAGAACCACCGAAATCTCTGGAGAATGTCAACAGTGGATGAAGCTGATGGTGGAAAATAAGTGGGCCAATTCTGCCGGCCCCTGGCATCCCTGGTTTTTCTTTTGTTACTGAAGGTGAATTGGGAAGGAAACGCCTCTGTTCTCTGAGGATATTTCATCAGTTGTTTGCCATCTTTACTGGAATTGCTTCAGTTATTAGTTTCACAAAGAGGAGAAACAATGCCTGTTACACTCAGTGGAGAAGTGTTTATTTTTCACAGCAGTTCAAGGGCAGCACCTGTGTGTTGAGCAGGTATGTGTGTGGTTTCCTAATTCATACGCCAGTTATGTTTCCTGATGTTTGAGGAGTAAATAATTTGCCTTTTCTCCCACCCCTTAAAGGTGTAAGACCCTTTCTGGTTGCTTGGCACCGTGTTTGAAGATTGGATTACGTTTTTAAAGGAGGTAGCAAATATCCTGAAACGGATATGTGAGAGAGTGTCTTTTTTGCTTCGGATAACACACGTGTTGACAATAATAATCTTGTATTCATGAAAGGTGTCTTTGAAACCCTTCAGGATACGCGTGTTTTGCACGGAATTTCCATTATCCATCACTGAAGTGCAGACACCTCTGAGGTGGAACATGGCAGCACTAAGAGCATTACTGCCAAAAGTCTTCTGTCGTCTCCTTTTTCTCATAATTGTCAGCCCATTCCTAAATTGCCAAAGGCCACCTCACTTGGCTTAATGGGAACAGTCCTGCAAGCTCATTTAACAGCTGATGCCTATGGCAGAGCCTTTGGGAATCCGTGGAATTTTAGCATCCCCAATGTTGCTGTTTAAAACCTCCTCCCTGCCACCCCACCATAAATTCTGCAGAAAACATTTCCCACTGTTCTCCTTGCAAGAATATCCTCTTCACTATAAGTGATGTGAGGCTGGTTACTGTGCATACAGGCAAACTGAAGCAGGAGCTCTGAGGAGTGCAACCTGCCCCCATCCATCTCCATGGAATGATAAACCTAAAGCTTGATGCCATTTTTGTTAGGAAGTTGCAACAAATCCAGTGTCTTGTCCTGCTCCCCACCCAACCTCTAAGGGTACGTCTATACTTACCTCCGGGTTCGGCGGTAAGCAATCGATCTTCTGGGATCGATTTATCGTGTCTTGTCTAGACACGATAAATCGATCCCGGAAGCGCTCGCCGTCGACACCAGTACTCCTGCTCCGCGAGAGGAGTACGCGGAGTCGACGGGGGAGCCTGTCTGCTGCGTGTGGACCTGCGGTAAGTACCTTGTCGTTCGAACTAAGATACTTGGACTTCAGCTACGTTATTCACATAGCTGAAGTTGCGTATCTTAGTTCGAACTGGGGGGTTAGTGTGGACCAGCCCTAATTGCTGAGTTCCAGAAACCCTCTGTAGTCACGGTCGTAAGTCAGGAAATGGGTGAATCTCGAAAGGTTTAAAGGGAAGTAATGGAGATGTTAAATCTAGTGTGTATACAATGTGTATCTATAAATGGATGCATGTGTGTATATGCACAAAATATTTTATAGAAGGTGCGTGATGTACTGTGAAGTGTGTTTGTGCATGCGTGTACTTGTAGATAGAGTTCAGAAGTTTAATTAAACACTGAGAAGTTTGGATGCTTATCCTGATCCTTGAGTCTGAGAAAGGGCTGATGCAACTCCGATCCGCCACTAATTAATTTCTCCTTGTGAATCCAAGTCATCCTATTATTCAATATATTTATAACATGGAATAGACACACACATTGTCTGAATCTGTGTATGGAACTTGTTCATTTAATTTCAAAGGGGATGATTTGAGCATTTAATCCAATCTGTCTCCTCTTAATTTAAACACATTTTAACAGAAGAAAAGCATCGTCTAGAACCCTACTTATCTATAAAAAGGGGCTAATTTTAAATTTTTAAATGAGTTATTCCCATTAAAATACAGAAGTAGATGAATCAGTAGTTCTAGTGATAAAATTACTGAATTTCCATAGATAACTGCATTGAACTTTGATACTTTTTTATTTTAAATGCCTGTTTTTTGTCAGACTGGATTATGCTGTTGGTCCCCGCAAGAGCTGTTTTTCTAGGAATATCAGTGTTTTGATAATTGCCACTGGAATTTATTTTTTAAATACATCTCTTCAGCATACTTTAATGAATAGGAATATTTTGGTAAGGATCTGAAAAACAAACAAACACCACACCAACACATTAGCATTTGATTAATTTGGCCTCTGGACTATTGATTTAATAAGAGGCCTTAATAGAATAACACTGAAAATGTGTAGTTAGAAGTTTATTCCGCATTCCCACAGGCATTTTGTGAAGCATTAAAGAAGTCTAAGGTTTCATCTTCTTGCTTGGCAAGCACAATTACATCAGATTAAAAGCAGGGAGTGGCAGGGAACCGTGTGTATTTGTGTATGAACCTATCAATCAACTAATCCCTGAATTTAAATGTGTTCTGTAGCTCAAATCCTAAAAAGGTGAACAAGGATCTGGAATAGAAGAGATTTTAATAATTAAAAGGAAATAAAACCAAGCGCTTGGTACCAACTGAGTGCTTTGCATGGCATTTATTACACACAGCAATAAATAGCAGTTGGGTTTTTCACTGCTTATATCAAAAATGGCCACTTTGTAGGTCATTTTTGTAGACTTAATGAAGCCCATATCAAGGAGAAAGACTGTGCATAAGGTTAATGTTATAGTCACAGGTTCCTCTGAAAAGGAACATCTGTCACATAGCAGAGAAGACGAGGTTAGCTGCGCAACAAAGACTTATTGAGATCCAAAAGGAGATAATGCCAAGGCCTGGCAGAGTGCGTAAGATGCATAGGCAGTCGTCAGAAGATTTGATGTCAACGGGAAAAGGTCAGTGCTGGAGCAGAAACTGTACACAGTGCTTGCTTACCCTTAGCACTTCTCTAAGGGGCAGTGAAGTGGCAGCTGACAGGATGATTGGCTCATTAGACTGCTATACACCTGGCCACTTTTCATTTGGCTCAGGCCTGATGAAGTGGGTTACTGTTTATTCCCACCTGGTATCATGCTGTCTAGCTCAGATAACTAACATAGTTGCGATGCCACCTTTGTGTATTTTAAGGCAGTATTGCTGATTAAAAGAAGACTGGGACTCAGGAAATCGAGGTTCTATCGTTGAATCTGCCACTGACTCATTGTATGACACTGGTCAAGTCACTTAATCTCCCTCGACCTTGTCTCCATTTGCAGAATGAAGGTGATGTTTTATTATTAATGTGTATAAGCCCCCTTTCCCCCCTTCAGCCTTTTTATTCTTCTGCAGCACCAGAGATGGGTGAAACCAAGTAGAAGCTTCCCAGATTCTCCTAGTTTCACCATGCAGAACTCTGACTCTCACTTAGGTTTGACTTGAAACTGTAATTTGGCTCAGAAAGTTTGTAAACTTGTTCAGTGGACCTGGGGGCATGTTCTCGGGCCCCGATCCACTTTGTGCCACTTAGGCCGTGGTGCAAAGGGAGCAGAGACTGTCTGCCTTCCCCATCCTTTGGTAGGGATTCTTCATCATGAGGAAGCCTTCAGCGAGTATAGAGCTGGCATAGCCAGAGCCTGCACTACCCTCCTGAACTCGCTGATTAGGGGGAAGGGGGGGTGTCAGGAACAGGGAGGAGAAGTAGCCAGAAGGTGCTGAGCTCCTGTTATGCTCCTTAAGCTGGTGAACTGAATCCCTTGGGAATCATGTTAGAACATCTGTTACTTACGTCTGAGCCAGAGGCTGAGCTAAAGGATGGCTCCTCCTCCTTTTCATGCTTTTCTCTGGTTCCTGGTGCCAAGTGATGAATTAGTACCCAAATCCAAGTGGGTTCTGTTGTGAATATTTTGCTCTGGCCTGGGTGCCAGCGCCTCATGAGCTTCTGCCCTGTTTCAAAGGCTGAGTGTGCCAATTTGTCAGAAGTATTGGCGCTTAGTTCTTCTCTCTCGTGAAAAGAGGACACAACCCTCCCTGAGGTAACAGTGTTTCATGAACAGAATTCATAAAAGCCTGAGAAGTAGCTATGAATGAAGCGGACACTGGTGGTGTGAGCTTTTCCTCCCACCTAAATGGTTTAAACACTTTATTACTGATATCTGAAATCTTTCCTTTTTTGCCGTGAGGTATTTGATAAAGAGATTCCAAAACAATTCTGTACTCCTCATTGTACAGCGTCAGAGGGAAGAAAAAGTCCTGTGTTAACCATATATAGCAGAGGAATTGGACAAGCTATTTTCACAGCTTTCTCTCTGATTAGCAAGGAGGAGCTGTTCTGATGGAGGAATAAGATTGTCTACAGTGCAACCAAGGAAGGACCTAATTAGAGCCCTGATTACTCACCTCTGGAAAGCTTAGGTTACAAGTGGAAATATACTTCATTGGGTTCATCCTCGCCCCTACTGTATAACATCATAAAACACACCTGCGTAATTGAATGCATTGGGAAATGTATTGAGCGTCTTCCCTCGTTTAGAGAGTCAAACTAGGTTTAATTATTGGTTGCATACATATGTGTCTGTCTGTCTTTGATGTACTATGGGGTGTCAGTGATGGCTCCACTGTTAAAGTTGTGTTGAGTTTTGCATTTACTGGGACTGATTCTCAGTTACTCTGTTTCTGCAGTTGGGGCCACTTTTGTACTGCCATCATTCCGAGGCTGAGCAGGGATTGCCTGTCCGCTGTTACGTTAGAGTGCACTCAGTCCTCAGGAAGAGGAGATGGATGAAACATTTATTAAACTAACAAAATCACCCAAAGCACAGGACCTGGTGGTAACCGGGGGACTTGAACTACCCAGACATCTGTTGGGAAATAACACAGTGGGGCACAGATTAGAATAGAATATATGGAGATATACCTATCTCATAGAACTGGAAGGGACCCTGAAAGGTCATTGAGTCCAGCCCGCTGCCTTCACTCGCAGGACCAAGTACTGATTTTGCCCCAAATCCTGAAGTGACCCCCTCAAGGATTGAACTCACAACCCTGGGTTTAGCAGGCTAATGCTCAAACCACTGAGCTATCCCTCCCCCCAACAAGTTATTGGAATGTATTGAAGACACTTCTTTATTTCAGAAGATGGAGAAAGCCACTAGGCTTCTAGATTTGATTTTGACAAATAGGGAAGAACTGGTTGAGAATTTGAGAGTGGAAGGCAGCTTAGATGAAAGTGATCATGAAATGGTAAGAGTTCATGATTCTAAGAAATGGTAGGAGGGGAAAACACCCAGCACATTGAAGATAATGGATTTCAAGAAGGCAGACTTTAGCAAACTC